ATAAATTCTAGTAAACAAAATTTTGCGACCCCATTCAACGCAATGAACTAAACAAACAACTTCAAGTGTGCGTTACATTCTCTAATCCCCAACCTTTCATCAGATAGGCAATCTACTGTAGCTAAATAACCAGCGTTTAAGCATTTTCTTATACAGCTGTCTGTTTGGATCATGGTTTCGAAATCACACAAACATGCCAACTCATTGCCAATGAAAAATGAACGTCTACAACAAAAGTCGCGAATGAATAAGCCTAAGATTTATTTAAAAAATTATATCACAAGTAACCTCTTGAAAAAGCGCTTTAATTATATATTTCGGTATCGTATTTCTGCGTAATATATTTTTTGAGGATTATTTCATGATCAGAATGGGAAATGATGACCAGTTTCATAATTTCTAGAAAAATTAGGGATACACCTTCTGTTGAAAATGCAATTTCTCACTTTTCTATGTATACAGAAGCAGTTCTCAATATATTTGTCTACTTCTAGGCTCAGTTCTAAGATAACAAAAGCAGAGCAGAATGACAGAATATAAACGACAATTTTGCAAAAGCTAGTAATCTCCTATACGTTCCGTTTCAAGATTTCTATTCATCGATACTGCTTTATAGATACAAATTGTTCAGCCATTTTTTGCATACGGTTTGAAAGATAAAATTGACGGGTCGTCTTGGGTGTTTCTGCATATGCATGTTTACGGTCGTCATTTTCGGTAGGATAAAGGAAATAACAACCTTTAAGATTATTACTTCATTCTGTGTAACAAATCTTACCAAATTTGCAAAATATAATTTCCTAAGCTCTTCTTTACCCAACAAGAATGCGTTATCGCATAGCTGAATTTACCTCAATTTCATGACCATAAAAAGTTATTTGTTCTCCGAACATATAGAATTAAAAAGTTTCCGCTTTTTATGAATTTTCATTTATATTACAATACGCATAAACAGGATGTTTTCGTCCGCAGCATTTAGTAGCGTAGGAGATTCTTTGGATGTTAACAAACGTCTGATTTGGCCCCATTCTGCCCCATTTTGCCCCCAGTATACTGAGCTGAAGTGAAATTTTTTCTAGAAAACAGCATTTTGCACCTCAAATCAAGTGAATGAACAAAATAACCAACCTCTAATGTGTATTAAATCACCCACACAAAGTCTACCTTTCACATTCCATCAGATATGCAATGTAATGTATTATGCGAATAGATGTGAGGTCCAGATATCTTATCGTTTTTATCATCCCCCAAAAAAGACGAAGAAGAAGGTTCAAGGACATGGACCGGGTTATATTAGGACTGAAGTTTCGGATATTCGCTTGTTTCCATAGTCAGAGAACCGGCGTGGCTGTTCCTGTTTGTCGGGACTGTTTCAGCCTCGCTGCATGCCTGTTATTATATCCGTGCTCGGCGGACGAACTTTCACCTGCTTGTTCGCTGCTGACTGTCCGTGAAATTGACCGCAGGGGGGGCTCGTGTGAACTTTGTCCCCTTTGCGGCTGTCGTTATTGATGGCAAGTCAGTGCGCTTACTGGCCTGTCCCTCGTCCAGCGACGAACTAATCACTTGTTGCTGCCCGCATGAGTTCATGTCAAATTCGTGTGCGCGGTAGCGGTGAGGTAGCGTTCCACGCTGGTCACCTGGTTCCTGGCCGACCCCTC